AAACAGATATTAGTGCTAAAAGTTGATAATTGTGCTGCATTATTTAATATTGGCAAAACTAATTAATTTTTAAAAATTTTATTGTTTTTTTAGTGTTGAAAAGTACATTTATTTATTATTTATTTTACTAATACATATTTTTTACTACAGTTTCAAAAAAATTAGAATAGTTTAGTTCAAAAACTAAAGTGATTCTTAATTTAATTTTATTATTTAAATAGTGTATATGTTTAAATTTATTCACGTTAAAAATATTTTTTAATTATTGCATAGTTGGCAAAAACATCAGAAATTCAGAGTAGGGTGAGCAACAGTTCTAATGGTTAAAAGAACTAAGTTGCTAGATGACACATGAGCACTCTGCATGTTTCTCCAATAGACTTAACATTGTACTTTGCCATGCTGCCATATCCAAACAGTTCTGAATTTTTCATTTCTGATTGTAATGAACTTACCTACAGAACAAGAGCTTTATTTTGATACCTGAACCCTTAGCCATTCTCTTAAACAAAGCTGGACAATATTTAAGATTTTATATAATAAATCTATATATTAATTTGATAAGTTTTGTTGTTTCTACCAGGGCTATGGAGTTGGAGTTGAAAGCAATTCTTGAGTTACTGAAGTTGAAATCAGAAAAATAGATTGGCTCCTAACTGTAACAGGTTATCCCGTAAAGACTATTTCATAGCAAAATGTTATGTGCATCTCACGTGACATGCTGTATGCTTTCAGAAAATAGTTTTTATTAATTTAAGGCACACCAATGGCCAAGTGGATAAAACCACTGATCACTTGTAATTAGTCGTGGGATTGTGCCTGGAAAGTAAATGCTTATGATATAGCTTCGAAGTGTCAAGCTTATCTTTACCAAAAATGCTCCCAAGAAAAAATTTTACTTTAATTTGGATGGCATTGAAATCAGTCATTAGCTGATAATAAATAATAAATTTTTAATAAGTAATTAATGTAGATTTATTTCTATTGCCTATCATAATTTTTTTTATTTTTGCATGAATTCTGATGTTCCATTACTGCTTGTGTGATGGCATCAAAGTTGGTAAGTTGGAGTAATGGTGTTTTTCACTATTGTTTGCAAATTTTTATAAACTTTTACGAATAGCTTCAAAAATGCATGCGAACTGTAATAGTAAATCTAGCAGTGGAGATAAATGCAAGAAGTGTGTCTGTATCACCATGGAAACTAAACCGGGCATTATAAAACTAAGTGCATTAAGTGAAAAAATCTGTTTTAAACACCTGCTGTTAAGCAGTAGTGAGTGGGTAAACAAGCATAACATATTTTATTAAGTACATTGAAGGATCAAATACTAACAATAAATGGTTATTCTGTGTACAAATGGTTATCTCTGTACAAATGGTTATCTAGGTTAGTTTCAAGTTACAAGTAAACTTCAGAAACCTAACCTGTTCATAATTAGGAGAGCATCTGTACAATAACTCAATCTTTGTTGAGGAAATACCTAACCTTTCTTTAACTATCATCATTATACATATATTAAGGCGTCCCTTATTTTGACAAAACATATTTTTTTGTCAAAATGTTTGCACCCACCTCCCAAATTTTTTGCATTTGATCAGAATTACTCAAATATGAAATTTCATCTTGATAGGATGACATTATCTCATGCTGGCTTGAGTGCAAAACTTGATTACAAGGAATGAGTGACATGGGGATATTAAAAAACAATAAAAAATCAATAAGAAATACCAACCAATAGAGTAGTTCTTCAGATAAATACCACAAGTGTTGGCTAGGCTTCTTTAAAGCTGCTGTATAAATGTATCTATCACTTAATGAACTTCGAGAAACAGCAATCTTGATTAGGGGCTTTTACAGCTGCAGTGCACTTAAGCCATAGTTTAATGAAAACTGTTACAACAAATAGAGAAATATTACATAAAGCTTCTTCTTTTCTGATGGACAGTTTAAGGTTTGATCTTAGAAGAAACGTTTTTAGGAAATAAGTTGCTTTTGCTATCCATCAAACTTGATGCATATCCCCAGAAGACAGACTTTTAGTTTCTTGTCATGTCACCTCCCAAAAACAGTACATATCTCTCATAAGTTTATGATAATCATTTGGCATTTCTTTCTACAGTTCAGCTTTATAAAAGTCCAATAGTTCTTGAAGTTCTAACTCACTGAAAAACTCCTTCACATAATTTTTACCACTTTTAAAATTACTAGCATTAACATTTCTCCAATTTTTATTATCCATTGTAAAAACAGTTTTTTTATTATGCCAATATCTATTTATTTATTTGTTTATTAGTGTTTTTTTTATTTAAGTACAGCATAATTGTTTTTATATAGGGGATCATTTTATTATTGATTCGGGGGCAGTAATCTCTACTTCACAAAAACTTTAGTGATTGTATTTGAAAATAAATATTAAAATAAGAAGTCATCAATTCATTTGTCAATGTTAATAAATATAGTATAGCTGAAAGTTTTATAAAACTTTCAGATATACTGTATCAATGATTTGCAAAAATTCAAAAGATATTGTTCAGTTATGTAACATCAATATTATTACAGTACTTTCTTGCATATAATTTACAGTGGCATATATGGCATGTAAACATATTTTTATTCTTGATTTTCTAAGAAATTTAGCCACATATGGTTGAGTTTCTCACATTAATGCTCTTCTGCCCTTTACTATCTACTAGCCCCCACTGCTGCCCCATTTGAGTTTAAAAATAAACAACATAAAAATAGAATTTTGCAATCAGTTGACCAATGGATGAAACAGAAAAACAGGTACAGTACATCAGATGCAAATACTAGACTATATGAACAGCCATTAGATAAAGAAGAATAATATTTAATACTTGTTCAGGTTTTTCTTTTTTTATTGAGCATTGTCATATGTACCACTGATTGAATGGTAGCTCATTATATGCAAGGAGCTGCCATATCCTTATGGAAGCTTCTTATACAATAATAATTCATGTGTGTTGCTAGTGATCATGAGCTATTGTAACTTACCCACCTATGCTAAGTATATGCAAGCCATTAATCATGCAGATAACCCTCACTCAGAAATTTATGGTTACATCCCTGTATATATAACCCATATACCTGCCATATGCTTTTATATAACTCACTACTGTATACCCTGCACCTCCAAATTTCATCTCAAACATGCCATTTTTTTTCTATGAATGATTGCTCTATTAGCTATTGGGTAAATAAGTGGTAAATAAAAGAATTTCTGTTAACATTGTCACTGTTGATTTTATTAAGAAAATTCACACAGACTATACAGTATCTAATAACAAAAGTTTTAGAGTCACTCATTTAACTCTTACTCATTATAAAGAACTAATATATTGATATAATAAATTCAAAAGTCAGCATCTAAATAGTTTTCTGAGTGTTCATTATAAAGAAATTACCATAAACTTATCAGTTGTCAAGATACAAGTTTAAGTAGGAGTGACTAAGATTAGAAATTAAAAGATGGATTTACATATAGATAACAAGAGAGAACTAAAGATTTAATATATATTAACTTATATACAGGGTTTGTACCCAACAGGAAAGTTAGGAAATTTGCCTCCTTGGCTACCTTGTTGATTTTTTGCTGACAATATGCTTGACTAAATGTAGCCATCTGCAGGCAGTAAGAAGTAATGTGATGCAATACAACTTATGAAAAGAGGTGCAGAATATTTTCATGACCCAAAATTTCTACCAAGCATTCACAAAATTTCCCCAAAAAATTATAAATAATTTTAATTTACATGGTATTATTTATCATTTTTAATTTTAATAATTTTGATTGCCTAACAAAACAATTTCTGATATCTTTTCCAGTTTATTAATATTTTATTAAGTTCAGGACATTTATTAAGAGAAAAATTTAATAAAAACTTTCGTACGTTTGTATACTTTATATATACTTATGTACATGGATTATACAGGATTTGTTAATGAATAATAAGTAAATAAAGCATGCAGTGCCATAACATTGTAAATGCCATTTTTTTCTAAATATGTTTTATTGAAGAATTGAATTCTAAATGCAATGTTTTCTGCCACAAAAGAATATTGTGGTGGTATTGGTAGTGTAAGTGGCTGTATTTTGAAGATGAATTTATGTGAAAATGTAATGTTTAAAGTGCCATAGTGCAAGTCATGTGACTTTTGGCGTGTAAAACATTGCCGCTTATATTTACATCATTTTGATATTCCAGAGAATTTGTAACCCAGTGAGTTTACCATTTTATTGTACAATTGAAATGAATTCATTCATTAGAAAAAATGGGTANAATTTATATACATGCATACATATGAAGTATATATATTCAGTAAATGCAAGTGATTTGTGAACAATATGGCTTATGTGTATACTGTTTTTTCTTTTTTTTTTCATTAAATAAGTTGCAAAATTGTTTAAAGAAAATGTTTTGAATTATTCCCATATTAATACATCATTTTGATATTCCAGAGAATTTGTAACCCAGTGAGTTTACCATTTTATTGTACAATTGAAATGAATTCATTCATTAGAAAAAATGGGTACCTCTCCTGAAAAATTTCTTTTTTGGCATTTACAACATAATGGTATTACACACTTCAAATAATTGCTTTTTTCTTTTTTTCAAAGCCATGTGATTGTGGATTAATAACAGAATAAACTACTATTTTTTAATAGAACATTTTATTTATAGTTTTAATAATTTGGCAATTATAAAAATATATTACTGTTAATTAGAAAAAAATGACTAACTAAAAAGTTGGAGAAGCAATGGCATGTGTGCATAGTAAGTCAAATGTCGTTTTATTTTATCATTGTGCCATACTGTAAAGGATGTGAGGGTCAGGGAAAGTCATGGAATTTAACACAAAATTTGAGTAGGAGCCCTGTATATATATATATGTGTGTGTGTGTGTCTTTATTAATTTACATAAAATTATGATAACAGATGAATGTATACAGCATGTAAAAGAATTTTTTGCATTTGTAAAGATGCTCTTGATAAGTTTACAAAGGAAAGCTGTTGGGTGAGTTCATAATTGCAATTTAAAATTGACAGATAATCCTCATCACCATATAATTTCTCCTTGCTTTCAAATTGACTTTAAAGCATAGATGGCCTGTTAGTTATTCACAGGGAATTACAGTCCATCCTGTAAAACAAACATTGGTTTCAGTTTTACTAATGGGTAGGATTTCTTAAGTATGGTACTGTACATATATTCTTAGGCTATGTCCTATGTGGCAGCGTCCAGCAACTACTGGCAGAAAGAATCTTTTTACGCATGTCCAACTTGCGAGTGACTTCTGTCCAAAATGGACGCATGTTGTTTACAAGATGGTGATGAGAAGACTTCATTGAATGCTACTATGAAAAATATGACAAGCATTAAAATGGTAAATTTGACAGTTAATTATTATCACTAACTAGATACACAACAAATATAAAGAATCTTTTTTTTTGATGATATGAAACCGTGCTTTGCTATTTGTTTATGCTTCTGACTAAAACACATAAAGCAGATGAAACCGTCCGTCCTATAGTTGACTTCAGAAACACAACATTATATAATCTTGAGAAAATTCTAAAACAGAAACTTAAAATATACCAAAATTCTAAATTTGCTATTTATAACACTGATAAACTACTATATGATATTAAACAGATAGATATAAAAGACACGTACAGAATTGCAAGCCTAGACATAATTGATATGTATCCTTCCATAATATGGGAAATAATTGAACCTAAACTGACACAACATAAAATTGAACCTGAAATAATAGACTTAATCGAATTTACCTACAGAAGCAATTACTTTGAAATAAACAGTAAATATTACACACAGAATAGTGGTATCAGTATGGGGTCCGTAATAGGACCGAAACTAGCCGAGATCATAATGATAGATATAGACAAAGAAATAAGTGACATATATGGTATAAAGTTCTACAGGAGATACGTAGATGACGTCTTGATAATATATGATGAGGTCGAGATTAACACTAATGAAATCAGAAATATAATAAATAATATCCATAAAAATATTCAATTTAAAATAGAAGAAGAAGATAAAATTACCAACAGCATAAATTATTTAGATATTACAATTAAAAGAAATAATACAAATCTCGAATTTGAACCGTTCAAAAAGCAGTGCTCAATAAATACCACAGTTAACTATAATTCTAACATACCAATTCATATAAAACAAAACATATTTAATATGGAATACACTAAAATCAAAAATAGAACTAGTATAAATACTAAGCAAATTGAACATTTAAATACACTAAAGAAAAAATTTATTCTTTCAGGATACCCAAACAGAATTCTTAATATTTGGGAAACAGAAATAGATAAAAAAACAGATAAAACAATAAGAATAGATCCTAAACAAGCAGAAATAAAATACATTCGTTTTCCATACATAAAAGGTTTATACGAAGAAGTCAATAAGGAAGTCAAAAAAATTAATGTAAAACTTGTACCGACATATGATAAGCTACTCTCCAGATTAAATGCAAAACAAGTTAACAAAACAAATATAACAAATAAAGAAGAAAGTAAAAATGTAGTCTATAAAATTCCGTGTACATGCGAAAATAAAAAATTTTATATAGGTGAAACTAAACGTAAAGTTAAAGTAAGATTGAAAGAACATATAGCCGATTTGAAATATCGTAGACTAAATTCTGCTTTTCATGAACACTGCCTTTTGAATAATTGTAATATAGATAAAAATAATATAGATATCTTACACAGAGAAAGAGATACATACAAAAGAAAATTCAAGGAAAGTATAGAAATAATCAAAAATCAAAATAGTATAAATAAAAATCCTAGCATCTCAATAAACGAAAACTGGTTAAAAATTTTATATTAATTGTATTCACTAGATTCAAACTATTATTATTGTGATCAATGTGCTAATTAATAATAACGATTGAACTGTTACATAAATCAACAATAACAAAAAACTGTAATGTTGTAACGGGAATCAAATAATATGTAAATTTATATTAAATGTTAATCCTGTTTACCAACCTCAAGACATTGTAATGTCATTAGTTCATATAATAATCTATAATATTAAATACTGTAATGTTAAATAAATCAACAATCATATATTGTAAAAATATAGTAGATGTCAGATATGTAAATTTATATTGTAGAAGTTATGTAAATTCGTATTATATTGTCAATGCTTATCAAAGGAAATAAGGATTTAGTAAAACAGATTTATGAGTAAAAAGCATAATCAATTGTATACCAATTTGATAATTGTTGTCTAAGGTATATTTTAGACCAAGGATTTTGTAAGACTGTTTTATAAGTAAAAGGTATAATCAATTTTGTACAGTACAACCTTAATAACAGCCGTACTCAAGGTATGCCTTAATTAAATATAGTTTTATAGATACTATAAAACTTATGTATAGTTTTATATAGATACGTTGTATACTCTCCTAATATTATAGTAGGCTACAAGAAAAAATACTGTGAATAAGCTGATGTTGCTGAAAAAATATCGAAAGTAAACTGCTACTTTAATTTATAAAACCTGTATGGATAGGTATGTTTTATTTTTTAAAAATTTTACAAAACTTGTGTATTCCTTTTTATGTGTATGTTATATCCTTTTTAAATGTTTTAGTTGACTGAAGAGGGGCTTAAGAGCTCGAAACGTGTAATTTTTTCCACACGTATCAACTAAATAAAGATGAGAAAATCCGCCAAGTGTCTTAATTTATAGCACTATATTGTGTCAGAAGCATAAATAAAGAATCTTTATAGAATAATAAGTTTTAAAAAGTTTTATTATTTTTTAACAAAATCAGAAATTTTTAAATTACGTAAAAGATTATTAATTAAAGTACATACAACATATATACACAATTTATTTGTCATTCTGTTTACATTCATCTTCAAAATCAGCCATTTTCTTCGTTGGAAGCGCGAGCAGTGGAAGCGGTGAACAAACTGGCTTGGTAGCTGCTTCCTGCACACAAGTGTAGAAGCATCATCTGGTGGTCACTACATGCTAAACATGGTTACTCGAGACACACACATTTGCTTGAACTGGTTTGTTTGCTCCGCTTGGAAGTGCATTCACACCCACGGTCACTGGATGCTGCCACATAGGACTAGCCTTATTCTCTTGCATTGGGAGTTATTCTAGTTAACAGACTTTTTAACAAACAGTTAACATATTAAGTCATGCAATAACAATCTATATTCAGATTCAAGGAAATTGAATACTGAAATGCATATTATGTTTAATGTTTGATTTATATAGTAAGAATTCTGGTGTAATAGCCATAAAAATGTAACAAGCTTCTATTTTTACACAATAGATTTCAATTTAACAAAGTATTTTTTTTTGATAAAATCAATATTTAGGTCTATGCTAACTATTGTATTGTTATTACAATTGTGCATCAGTACTTTCAACTATCATGTTCAAAGAGAAGTGGCCTATATCCTATGATTGTGTACTCTATTGGGGTCTATTCTACCATCTTTCCTATTGATACTGGTATTCCACTTTTAACTGTCTATGCCTGAAGACAATCCATTAACCAGGTTAAAAGGTTCATTGATTAATTCAGCTGAATAACCACAGTGCCTAGTTCATGCACATTAATATCATATAAAAATGTGATCTCAAAAATATATTTTTATAAGTGAATAATTTTTGAAGTATCATAAATAACCTATATGCTATTTTATAACTAGGTAGATTCATTATTGAACAAATCTCTTTTATATCAATACATAATTATCTAACTTGTTTATGATTTTTTAGATAAAAACCAAGCTGATATATTTCAAACTCTTATAAAAACTGAAAATTATAAAATAGAAATGACAACAGAAGAACCATGAATTACTTTCAATAAAACTAACATTTTCAATCTGCATAGATCTTCAGGTCAGTGAGTTCCAAAATAAAATGCAAGCAAGGATACACACTTGTCATGTTATTTCTTCTTTTTCCAGTTAGATTACAAAAGATCACTATATCCAAAGGAGATGGATGGGCAGCCCCTTTTCAGGAGACTTTTCTAAGATAATAATATGGTTATTGGAAATAGCCATTTTGCCAACATACCTCCCAAATATACTTACAGATGATATTTAGATATTCTCATCATATGGAAATCAAAACCTGATTTAAATAACTTCATACAACAGATGAAGGACAACCTTTATGGACTGACTTAAATTAGATCAAACCAGCCAATTTGAAGTACATTTTCTAGATCTCACAATCTAAATTAAAAATAACCATATCCACACAAAGCTGTAAACTATCATAGTTATCATCATTTATCCATGCTAATTCCAATGACCCCTATAGCTATATATTAGTGCCCTTTAGAACTCTGACTAAAAGGGCTTTTACCTATTGTACAGATTGCTTGTTAATCCTACAAATAACTCATCTAATGATGCTAAATTAACCTTTAAACAGGATCTCACCATCTATAACATTTTCAAAAACAAAAAGACAACATTAATGTGCTTAGGACAGTACAATATTTCATTAAGACAGAACAATTTTGTTATGACCTTGAATATATTGGCTCAACTTCTCACTCACTCAAAGTTAGGTCATTGACACAAACTTGATATTGATAAAGGAAGTCTCAACACTGCCCTGGCGATTTACACATTCAACAGTTATGTACTGTACATCCCAAATTCAACAAAGCTACCATCATCAAAAAGTCAAAATAATTGAAGCATTTGAAATATTTAAATCTGGAAAACAGAGGTAAATGTATTTAGTTCAAAGAAGAAAAATGACTATTGTTCTTCTGTAATGACTGAAAATGCTCCATAAGTAATGACTATGACAATACTTACAATAATCAAACACCTTAGTATTTCCAGCAACGAAGTATTTAATAAAAATAAAAACGTAAAAAATATATTTAATTTTGTTTTAAAGTGGCTTAACTGAAGAAGACTATTAAATATAGTCGAAAACATTTTTATTTTATTAAATATTTTGTTGCTGGAAATACTAAGGTGTTTGATTATTTTAAGTATTTATATTCCAGTAAGTTATTTCATTTTATTTTATGACTATGACAATGTATATTTGATTGACACTATTGTGGGATTACAGTACAAAATCCTTATTTATGTATTTGAAACATTTTTCTTGCTCTCATTCCATTTTGGAACTCACTGATCTGAAGAAGATCAACATCTCTTATGCAGATTGAAAACATTAGTCTTATTAAACATTTACTAGAAGCAATTTAAGGTTTCTTAGTTGTGGTTTCTATTAAACATATTATTATTATTGATGTTTAAAAATCTTTCTATATTTTTGCATTCTTTCATAATATAACCATTTATTGTATTTAGACTTTTAAGATAAAATTAGGTATATTAGAGAGTTTGATTGTAGATTATCCCATTAGAACTTTTCTATTTTCTTTAATTTTTATAAAATGGGAAATTCAAGTAAAAACTGTTGTTTATATAAATTTCAGAATATACTGTAACTTATAGCAATATATACAACTTTTTAAAATCAAAGTAATCTTTTCAAATTTTTAGCAAAAGATATGATACTTTACAAATCAAAGAAGTTATAATATTGCTGGATTTCTACATATTCAGAGAGTAAATAGAATTTTGATGAGTTGATGATATGTTCCTTCTATCAAAACCTATTAATGCCAATACACACTGTGAGTACATAGAAATCCAATGATATTGATTTAAATTAGAAAATGGAAGATATCAATAATCAGTTATTGAATTTAGCATCTTTGAATTATATATGAGGGAAAGTCAAAGAAAATTTAGACTGATTTTATTCCTATAAAAAGTACTGCATTAACAAATTCCATATTTACATTACTGTAAAGAATGGATAAAATGGATGTAAAGATGTATCAGTGCATCTGTGTAAAAAGTTGCTTGGAAATATGACCACTTTGTATGACTGTTAAAGTAAATGTCATTTGCTTCCTGCTAATACAAAATAGAAGTTGATTATGACAAGCAGTATGCAGTACTGAAATTTTGCTTCCACTTGTGGGAAATAGCTGCAGAAGCTTATGAAATGTTGAAACAAGTATATAGTGAAGAAGTTCTTCCACAAGCTAAAGCATTTTGATTTTTCAAGGTATTTTCTGAAGGTTAAAAATTAATTTTGAAGTAGACAGGTCTACAGACTTCTATGAGAGTGTTGACAAGGAATGCTATACCAATGTGTTGTGCTAATGCATACAACAGTCACTGGGTAGTATTGTCTATCAGTTCTTCATACACTGTTGAATCACATCTGCAGAAAATGTTCCAATCTTCTTGCCAATGGTTGGCAGTTCCAACATGACAATTCACACCTGTACATTGCTATCATTATGATTGAGTTTTAGGCCAAGAAAAGCATCTCAAGTAATCTACAGAACATCCACCATAAAGCCCAGATTTGCATCTTGCAACTTTCCAGCATTGAAGTCACTGATGGAAAATCCTTTGCTATCTATAAATGTGTGGAGAAATGGTCAAGGCACATTGGAGGTCTTGACCATTCTGAAAAACATCTCAAAGGATGAGCTATTGCATATTTTTATGAACTTACAAAAATGATGGCAGTAGTGCATTGAATTCCTTGAAAATTATTTCAAAAATGACTTTAGTTGCTATGCTCCAGAGTAATCATTTAAAATCACGTACGATTTTAAATTATAAATGCAATGTGTTCCATTTTCAAAGTCAATTTGAACATGTGAAATGCATTCAATTTTTATATTAGCCATTTTTGTTCTATTATATATACCTGATGATGTCTATTTCAAATAGACAAAAACATTAGTAAATATTTTCTTATTAATTACAATGTGCTGGTATTGGTTTAGTTATTTGTGTATATATGATTCCAGTTTTGGATAGTTACTACATTTGTTTGTGGATCTTTGTTAATTTAATATAATGTTATATTTAATTAATTAAAATGTACCTAAACGGATGTGCTGTATCATATTAGAGTATGTATGCACAGTGACTGAATACAAATTTATATACATGCATACATATGAAGTATATATATTCAGTAAATGCAAGTGATTTGTGAACAATATGGCTTATGTGTATACTGTTTTTTCTTTTTTTTTTCATTAAATAAGTTGCAAAATTGTTTAAAGAAAATGTTTTGAATTATTCCCATATTAATAAANGGAGAACATATATTTTTAAATAAAATAAATTAAATGATTAAATATTGCAGCTCGGCATTGTCACAATGTAACAATAAAATAATTGCTCATATGTAATGTTTCCTATCTGTAAATTAAATTAGAATTAGAATAAGGAACTGAATATTCACCCAATCATGAAGCTGTTATAGTTGTTTACAGCTCAAATGCATGAGCTGTTACAGATTTAGCCAATTCTGTATGTTCTACTTGCAAGACATTTGTTCTAGGGTCAGGTTGGGTAAATATGTTACGTTAAATTTAATATGAAATTAAAAACTAAATAAAAGAGGAATTGATTAGCTTTCATTAAAAAAGACTTGCAGATTATCCACAGTATCCATGCCTGTATTACCATTGATTGTCCTAGAAAATCAGGAGTATACTGTAATAGAAAATTTTAAACAATTTAGATCAACATGCACAAAAAGTATAAAAATTCTACAAGTAAAGGATTAATCAAGTTTATTGTAATTAATCTTATTATCAGCTAAATTAATTTGGTTTACATATTAAGTATAGTTTTTTGATTAATATAATTATATTTTGAAGTGTTCTTATTTAAAATTTTTTGTTTCTTTTTATTAAATTTGAAATGATATATTACTTCTAAATAATCCATTAAACAGATATTGGTTTAAAGTTTAAAATATTATTATTCCCAGGGAAAACGGGTGAAGAAGTATATGTCATTGCAAAATACGACTATACAGCTCAAGGCAGCCAAGAATTAGATATCCACAAAAATGAAAAATTAATTCTTTTAGATGATAGCAAACATTGGTGGAAAGTACAGAATTCTAAAAATCAAGCTGGATTTGTACCATCAAATTATGTAAAACGTGAAAAACCATCTATATTTGATAGTATTAGAAGGAAAGTAAAGAAAAAAAGTGAACCAAAAATGTCTCCTACATCATCTCCAGTGGCAGCTAAAGAATCAGATATAAATATTAATCCTTCTAAAAATCTTCCTGTAGTAAATCAAAGTGAAATTAATACAACAGCTCTTGCAAAATATAATTATGAAGCCCAACAATCAGATGAAATATCATTAATAAAAGGAACAAGAGTTTTAGTTTTGGAAAAATCAAGTGATGGATGGTGGAAAGGTGAGACTAATGGTCAAGTTGGGTGGTTTCCTTCAAATTATGTTCAGGAAGAAGTTGATGAAATTATTGAAGTCAGTCAAAATTGTGCTCCAGTTCTTGTACCAGAAAGTATGCCAGTAAACCACAGTTTTGATATTGTCATTGCACTTTATACTTTTACATCACAAAATGAGGAGGAATTGTGTTTCCAAAAAGGTGAACAGTTAGAAATAATCCAGCGCCCATCCAATGATCCAGATTGGTGGAAGGCAAGAAACAAAAAAGGAGAAATTGGTCTTGTGCCAAAAAACTATCTAAAAGTTATTTCTAAGGGTAAAGGAAAAATTTCAGAATCAGAAACTGCAGCCGTCAAAGGATTTGTGCCTGACATCCCAAATTGCCGTGAACAGGATATAAATGGTGCTGAACAGGAAATGTCAAAGCTTGGTCTTGGTGCTAGTGGAGGTGTTTCAAATGCAGTCAAAGATGTTGTCAACAGACCTGATCTAAGTAATAAAGAATGGTTCTTTGGAAGTATTACTCGTGGCCAATGTGATCAGATGCTCAATGAATTTGCAGAAGATGGAGATTTTGTGATCCGGGAAAGTGAAACAAATGTAAGAAATATAGGTTTAAATTATTATATTTTTTTTATATTATGATTTATATTTTAAATTTTGTTTAAATGAATAATTAATTTTAGTAAGTTTTATATCTTTTTTAGATATGAGCCATATTTCCTTGATTTCAGTTGGTGTAAACATTTTATTAACTTCATATAATTTAACTGCAAGTATCTTAGAAAGTAATAATCAATCTCATACCTTCCTTACATCTTCTAGCAATACTTTATTAGAAACAAAACAAAAGGCTTTTTTTTTAAATTGCTTTTTTAAAAAAAGTCCATTTAAAGGTTGGAACATTCCAGTTTTAAAATACTTGATAAACTGTTCAATTCAAATATGTAGGACCTGAAGCAAGCCCATAAACTAGGTCAAAAATGTTTGTTTCTAATAATGTATTGCTGGAAGACATAAGGAAGGTGAGAGATTGATTATTATTAGGATAAGTTCCAGTCTTAAATGACACATATCTTAGAAAGTATTAATCTTAATTAGTTATAAATGCTATGATTTGTCAAGTTTTTTTTTTTTAGTTTTGACAGTGATGAATTGGAATTTTAGCTACATGAATATATATATAACTAATGAATATATATATAACTAATATTTTGATTCATCAATGGTCAAACACTCCATGCATAGCAATTACTAATTATGACATAGTATAAAGGAATTAAGAATTACTTGCAAGATTCAATGTAAACTGTGCTGTAGAATATGTTTTTATAAACAAAATACATTAAATAACACTAAAAACAATTTTTATTAGACTAAATATTTCTCTTTTTTTATCTTATCAGTGTCTAGTTAGTCCTCCTACTTTTTTATGAATCATTTGTTTGGTTATTTGTAGGTGTTTGTTAATCATTAATATTGTTAGTGAATAGTTGTAAATATTTCCAATTTTAAGATAGTCCCACAGTAATATGAAAGTAATGAATACTATAACAGAGAAATTTTATTATTACAAATTTATATTTTGAATACATAATAGATTCATCAGTAGAAAATTTGTTTAATTAAAATCAAAATCATTAGGCTAAAAATTAATTACTAAAATAATTATGGAATGTAATCATGGAATTATGTAATTATGGAAAGCTTTATTGTGCAAAAATTCTAGTCATTTTACTGTGAATTATTAAAATGACACAAATAGTAAATCTTTAGCCTAGATTTATTTAAAATTTTATAACATATAACATATATTATATTACAGTTATGAAATGTGTAGATTTGGTAAAATTAGGAAATTTAAGTATTTTTGGATTTTTGAGTTATCCAAAAATTCTACATATTTCTGTCTTGGATTGCCAGGAAAGATGGTAGAGGTTATTTTACCTTGTAACAACACTGGATGTCAGAGTCTTGACCAGCAAGAATAGCAAAACATTTATGCATAAAATTGTTATCCTTTGTTTCTGTTAGCTTTACAAAGTAAAATTTCAGTTTCAAATTCAAAGCTTAGAGAATTGTTTTTTTCTGGACTTATGATATAGGAAATGTTGGAGACAACAGGTAATGTGATAGTTTTAAAGTTTATTACTATAACATATGTTTAAGAAAAATCTGATTGTTTTAGAAATAGTACAACTAAAAAAAGTCTCTTAAAAATATAGTTACTAAAGACATGAAGGAACTGATGAGGGGTATGACACTCAAAATACATTTTCTTGTAACTAATATCAATAGAGTCTAAATTCATTCCTGTTGTCTCCAATGTTTCCTGTATGATAAGTCCAGAAAAAAGCAATATTCTAAGCTTTGAATTTGAAACTGAAATTGAAACAGAACAAGAAGCTAGAATAACAAAAAAGTAAAATTTATCTGTCAATTTTGTCTTTGACTTTAATTTCAGACAATCCACAAATAAATCCAACAGTATGACTTTTCTTTCATAAATAATTATTTTTAAACTATCTGCAATTATAACTGCCATGTGGTAACAGGATAAACTGGATAACTTCAAAATTCAACACACAACAAACCACAAAATTCTAGCAAAACTTTAGTTATTTTAGTCTGTTATTTCAAAAAATATGAAACATATATTATTGTAGCTTTATGCTAACATTCTAAACCTTTCTACATTTATTTTTATTTTGATTTGTATGCTTAATTTTAATTATGATAAACTTTAAAATGTATTATAAAAAGTGTGCAATATTCATTTTTTTTTTTTTTTTTCATTATTTGGAATAAGTAGAACACACACACAACCATTAGACAATTTTTAAATTTGATGCAGCTTGAGGATGCCTTTGAACAAGATTGAAAATTTTAGTAATTAAACAAAGTTTTGCTGAAATTTTGTGGTGTGCTGGATTATAGTAGCCTTATGGATAACACAACTGATTATAAGTCTAAAGATCTAGTTTGTAGTTCTTTATGCAGCACAAATCATTCTCAAATTGCTAATGAGATATAACTCATCTGTTCAGAAATTGAGAATTAAGTGTGATTCAAGCAAATAATTCAAATTTTCAAATTTGTATCATTCAAATTTATATTTGAATCCTTTTTTTCTGCATTTTTATTCAATACTGTCATATTACTGTCTTTATAACTCTCAGTAATATGCAATTTAATAAAGTGGGAAGGGACTACCTTAAAATTAAAAATATTTGCAACTATTCACTAACAACAATATAAAGTGACTAACAAACACTTACAAACTGCTAATAAATGATTCCCAAAAATATTCAAAAATACCCAAAGTTGTGGAAACTACCTTGATACTGGTATTTATCTTATATTAGTTAAAAATGAAAATAAATTCAAAATTCTAAAATAATAATAGGATGCATTTTGCAAATTAAGCAGAAAAATTGAAAATTTTTAAAACAGCTAATTATAAAAGCATTAATTAAAAACACTTCGAAAAATTATTTAATGTAAAATGAGATAAATACCACATATCTGCGCAGAAAAGACGATAGTTGAATCATAAAAAAAGACCTCAAAATCTGGGGTCTTTTACAAAGATACAAAAAACAAAAATTAGATTGAAATTTATATAAATTAAAACCATTATAAAATAAAACAAATCACTTCACCAATGTATTTAAATAGTCCATATGACATTTTTGTTAATAGTCAAGGTCATTACCTGAATGCCCGAATCAGTGTGAATGTTTGCAATAATCACAAGGCAGTACTGTCAGATGCAAGAAAATAAAATTCATTCATTCAAAAAATTACAAATAGGATATAATTCTGTATATGCTATGCAGTATTATTATCCAGATGATGATCACTGATCTGAACTAAATTCATAAGCTGTTGATAGTTTGGGGGTCGTCTTATAGGACAGATATATGCTAAAACTATAAAACTTTGACGAAAATTTATACCTCATCTTATCTGAAGGTTGTCTTATCTGTGCAGATATACTGTATATTAAAATTCATAAATTTATTAATTCAATTTATATATAAAGATTGATCAAATGAAACTCTGTGCTGTCATATGGTCTTGCTCAATGGGATAGAAATGATGTCACATGTGGCATGATAAGCATACACCAATGAACAAGCAGGGAAAAGTTCAGTTATCTCACATGTTTTGTTTTTAACATAGAGTAGTGAAAACATGGTCGGATTTATTTGGAATGCACCCAAGGGCAAAACATGGTGCCACCACTTTGAGCCATCCAGTAGATGAAAGAGCATGCAATGGAAACACCCTGGTTTACTAAAAATTTCAAGACACAGGCCTCCACCTGTAAGGTTATGATGACCACATTTTTTGTCATTGTGGGACCTTTGCTGGTAGACTTTAAAGACCCTCATGTGAGCATCAATGCCAATTGCTACAGTGCAACATTGAACAAGCTGCATAAAGAATATGCAACTGGGCATGCATCACGTGGTTGATTTTGTTTCACAACAATACTCAACTGCATGTTGCGAACACTGTGCAGGATGCTTTAGCACGAAAAATTGGGAGGTTCTGCACCACCCATCCTATAGCTCTGATCTGTCATCATGTGACTTACTTGTTTGGACCTTTAAAAAACTTTTAAGGGACAATGCTAAAACTCTGATGCGGAAGTCAAGGAAGCAGAGACCCAGTGTTTCATGGACCAATCAACATTGTCCTATAGAACAATCAACATTGTCCTATGTGGATGGTATCCATTCTTTCCCCAATCTGTGTCTGAATGCCTACAATGACTTTTTAACAAACAAAAGAGCATTCCAGCTTCCTCATATATTGCTTTGTTTAATTATTCTATACCAACAGATATACTGTTTTGTTTGTTGTAATAAATTTACTCTAACAAGTTTCATTTGATCAATCCTTATATATATAAAATTCTTTTTCCTCTTTTTTCTAAAATAAAACAAATTTGTATTTTTTAAATCTGTGATTTCATTACATTTAAACAATAACATAATAAGAAATTTGATTATTATAAAATAATATGATTTTATGCAAGTTGTTTCTAATAATGAAAATCTTTAATGTGTAGATTTGGTAAAATTAGGAAATTTAAGTATTTTTGGATTNTTTTAATGGAAATATTTTTAACTTAATTTGCATGTGTTTAAATGATTTTTTTAATAAGAATATATTATTATAAAATTTTAATATATTTTTTTTAATATTGTATAAAATTTTGTATATGTTGATTTTTTTATTTTTTGAAGGTAGAATAATAGATCTATTTTATCTGTTTAATATTTTGTAGAGCTTACTTTTGTACATCTTTGAATTTATTTTAAACAATTTTTAATTATCATTTTTGTGCTGTTTTTTATATTTAGTAACTGTTCACGATTTTAAACACTAATATTTCTTTTCAATATTTTATTACTTTTCTTGTTCATTAATTAATACAGTAGAGCATCAATTATCCAAACATTGATCAACCAAAATGTCAATTAACTGAAAGCTTTCCAGTTGGCAAATTTAAATTTCTGCTAGTGCTATGGCACTGCAATCCTTGGCTATGTTTTGTGTTACTCCAATATTATTTTTGTTGGTGTGTG